TTAGAGAAATTGTAGCTCCCTATATTGACACTGGATAGCTATGACCCATGGTAAGTCACCCATGCTGGGGTACACAGTGTGCTCCTAAACATTTATTGTATCTCTGTACTAAAAAAAAAAAATCTTGTTAGAAATAGAATATTCTGAGTGGTTTGGTTATACAGTGTAAAACTAGCACTGATGAGACCACGTTGTCTGCTCCTCCTTTGAGATTTGCACAGAGAGGGGAAACTGAAGTAAATGCTGACAGCTGAAACTTCATAGTGTGTTTGTTCCTATGGTTTTCTTTCTGGTTTTGTTTTTGTCTTCCAGTTAGGGGCATAGAAGAATGATGCTGCATATTCCTTTTCCATAGACTGGGTCTCTTTTATCTGCCCATACACTGAATTTTAGGGGACAGCATGACTCATTTGCCATAACATTATTTTGTCCTGATTTTAGTCTTTAGTTATTAAACTCATTATTTCCAAAACAGTATCTAGGCATATAAAGAGGCATAATTACTGTAATGCTTCAAAAATAATAAAAAAATGAGCTAAGACAAAGTTGTTAAGCTTAAGCATTAGTTCATCACACCATAAATTCCCTCCCCTTTCACTGAAGAGGAGACAGACTCACATTAATAGTGGTGTTTGCATTGGAGGAACACTTTGACTAACAAAGCAGAACTGGGGCTATAATTGTGCACTGCAGTTTATCAATAAAAACTGAACAGGGAGAAGTTTAAAGCTAGTTAATTTTATTCAAAATAATGATTAAAAATAGGTCTAAATGCAGAGTGCAAGTTTAGACCAGGCAGGTGCAGGTTTGCTGGTATCAAACAGAAATAGTAGGTTTCAGTTTGGCTCCATTTCATTAACCTCCTTAACAATTCTGAAGTATTAGACTATTATGTCTGAGGCTATAATGTTCAGGCACTTAAGCTTTAAGAAGAAGAAAAGGATGTCATGGTTGGAAGGATGGCAGAGGTAAAACATTCCTCTGGAAGGAGGGAACAACAAAGGTTTCTTCATGGAAGGGCCACAACCAAGGATGTGGAGAGGACAGGAGGCACTCAAGGTTTTCTAGAAATCATGCAATGCACACATCAGCATTGTGTAATAAAGTGAATAAAACAATAATAATTTTGCCAAGAAATAGAATTTTGTGTCAGGAATTTTAGATCTGAAGCGAGGAGGAGAGTTTGGGATGCTTGTAGAATTAGAGTACAGGCAAAACACAGGGTCTCTACCTACAGTCCCATGTGTTTAGAAAAAGAAGTCTCAAAGCAGGTGTAGATCTGAAGGCAGCAGGGCCAGTCTAAATGCCCATTATGTGAGGGCTGCTAATCACTGGCCCTAAATTACCTTTCTGCTCAAACCACTATTAAACCTGTTTGTTAGGCAGAAGTAGTTAGGGAATTGTGTTCTTGTGCATTGTTGTTTAACTGGTGCCCATAAATGGGTATGGCTTTAAAAGGCTTTTCAACAAAGTACCTGTTCTTGGCTTCAAAATACACCAGCAGTTTTGGAAGTGTATTTTAATAATGGCTCTGTCTGTAAAAACACTATGAAAATATTTTCCTGCATTGTGAAATGCTGTGCTGCTTAACCACGTCCCTAAACTCACAGCTGCTGTACCTGAAGCATTAGTACTGGTTTGTTTCTTCTGTTACCTTTTGGCTTTGCCCTTCCTTTTCTCTGTTCATGTTGGGTTTTTTCCTTTCCCATCTCCTTTCCCATCTCTTTGTCACCTCAGGCCTATACTTGAATCTTTTTTCCACAAGCTCTCATCCATTCCTTTCTGACTTTTGCCTCTGTTCTCCTGCCTTCTTGCTGTCCCTGAGCCTGCTTGCTCGGCTGCTTACACCATAACTGATGGCAGAGTACTTAATTGTCAAAGATGGATAATCTTTTTTCGTTCCTTTAATTATTTACATCTCTTACAAAACATCTGCTTTGCTGTATCTCAGATTTTTTTTTAAAACTTTGTGTAAAAATCAGTGACAAAATATGCTTCGTTTGTTTACACGACTCCAGCCTCTGCCTGTGAATGGCTTTATTTTTATAAATAACCTCTTACAATTGGCTATTCAAATTTACAGCTTTTTTTTTTTCTAGAATTAGCTCAGTGGTTTGAAACTTTTCATTCTTTAAATATTACCAAGCTGCTGTTGTCTGCAGAAGTAAGGAAACATGTACATTAATATTCTGGATAAAGAGGCAGCTTCTTTGCAGCATTGACTAGAGAAAGTCTTCAATAGGCTGTAGAAGTAAACCTGAGCAAGGATTGGTTTGTCTTGCTTTTGCTTTTAATTTCTTCCTTCACTTTCTATGAAACTTAATCAGTTTATAGGTTGATTATGCTGTGACATGCTGTGAACAAACTGTTTTAATGACTTGCTTGCTGGAGTGGTTGAGAGTTACCTCACCATGGCACTACACTATAGTGTACAAGTCATTGAGTGAGAGTTCTGGGGGCAAAGGTAAAACACTAACTACAACAGCATATTCTGTATGT